TGGTGGTGGTGCTGGTGGTGCTGGTGCTGGTGGTGGTGGTGGTGGTGGTGGTGCTGGTGGTGGTGGGCTCTAACTCATGGGGACACCATGTGTAACACATCAGACATGGTCCAGTTCTGTGCCATCTCACCCTCATTGATGTGATCAGGTCTACTGCTGCAGCCACCATTTTAAGTGTCTTCCAACCGTGGGGACATATCTTCTTGCAGTATATTGGGTAATTGTTGTGATCCATAGAATTTTCCTTAACTGTTTTTAGGGGTAGATCACTAGGCCTTTCTTCCCAATCTAACTGAGCCTGGAAGCTTTGCTGAATCGTGTCCACTATGGTTGATCCTGCTGGTGTTTGAAATGCAGGTGGTGCAGTGTTTAGCCTCACAGCAATCCACCAGCCACCACAGTGTGTCAACCTGGCAGATACATGGTGGGGCCACACTACAGAGGATGTTTTCCTTCCAAAAAACACATTAAGAGCTGTATATCAAACCTCATCTCCTTCTAAAAATTTGCATGTTTTGGATGTCTCACAGCATGGGACTTTAACAGGTCTCATTTTAGAAATTGAATTTGAAAAATATATATAGGAAAACAGATATGCTTGAGAAGAAGAATCATTCAAGTTTACCTTATAATTGAATATCATTGGTGTGTGATTTCTCCCCTTCCTCCTCTAGAATGGGAATTGCCTGGCTGCCAATGGGACCTCTTTCATAACCGTAAGTCCGTAAAATTAAAGGTAAAAATGGGCTTAAGTATCTGAACACTGTGACATACTATGCTAAAGCATCATGCTGAAACTGTGGAACACCTCATGACATGGATGGATTTGGAAGAGACTGTGCTGAGGGAGGTTAGTCAATTGCAAAAGGACAACGGCTGAATGAGACCACAGTTACCAAAGGAAAAAATCAAGATAAAAGTTTTCATACCAAAAGAAACCACCTTTGAGGGTTACCAGGAGGGGGCAGGGAAGAGCAAGAGAGGGAAGCGATAGGCTAGACGCAAGCTCACTGCCATCGAGTCGATTCTGACTCACAGCAACCCTGCAGGACAGGCTAGAACGGCCTCTGGGGATTTCCGTCTTTATGGGAGTGGAAAGCCTGGCCTTTCTCCTGTGGAACGGCTGGAGATTTCAAACTGCTGACCTGGTGGTTAGCAGCCCAACGCATAACCACAGAGCCACAAGGGCGAGAGGGTAGACAGGGGGAGAGAACACGTGACAAGGGGGACACAGGACAAGCTATTGGAAAGTATGACAAGTTGTTTAAACTGTTGAATATTAAAATGATGATCTGAAATATAACCCCCCACCTAACAATAATAAGGTTAAATTTTTTAAAAAGGCAACAAAAAAAAAAGGATTCTGAGAAATAAATAAATAAAGATGTCAGCCCATCCCATGAAGTGCTGTCACTGATGTTCGATGGCTGTTTCTTCTCCTAGGATGGGAGTTGTCTGGCTTCCAGAAAGACGTCTTTTATGATGGTAAGCCTCAAAACGCATTCTTCCAATCCACTGGAGAAAAGGTTGTTAGCTGGTCTCAATGGCTCCTTTCCCCTGTCATCATGTCCCCAGACCCTGTGTCTCAGTAGCATCTATGAAGACCTGAAGATGTACCAGGTGGAGTTCAAGGCCATGAATGAAAAGCTCTTGATGGACCCCAAGAGGCAGATCTTCCTGGATCAAAACATGCTGGCAGCTGTCGATAAGCTGATGCAGGTAAGACTGCCCTTCTGTCCAGAAGAGAGCCCTCTTCACACTGAAGACGTGAGCCGGGATGCAGGACGAGGCGTAACGTTTGCCCTCCCTGGATAGGAGAAAAGCGCTGAAATCCCCTCTTGGAAAACCTCCGCAAGGCGCGCTGGCAGTGCAAATGAGTGCTTAGCTGCTAAGCCAAAGGGGGGTTGTTTGAGCCCACCCAGCAACTCTGCAGAGAAAAGGCCTGCCACACTGCTTCTGTAGACCACAGCCGAGAACACCCCACAGCAAGTGCTGCGCATCTTGCGAGAGAAAACAAGTGGACGGGGCGGGGTTATGACCCACTTTGAGCCAAAGGAGGTAATGGCCCATCATCTGGCAACATCCACAGGTCCTCGTAGGCAAGGATTGATTTGAATTGTCTGGACTGCGGTAGCGCGTGATGCTGTTCCAGTCATAGAAGCACTCACAGGAGGACGGGGAGGGTGTCTTGGTGACGGGGCACGGAATCAAACCGTGATGGCAGAAATCACTGTCTGACAAGGAATCCGTTGGCAAGACAAGTGACCTTTATACTGGTATCCAAGGACACTGCTCTCCAGAAGGAGTGTATTTTTTATTGCACCTCAAAAATCCTTATGATCAAGAGCCAGGGGACTTGGACTCTACCAGTAACAAGACAACTGTGCTGATCCATTTAACCCCATGGTGGCTCCGTTTCTTCCCATGCAAAATGGGACACCTTGATCTACCCTAGGTCTCGAGATGGTGCAAACAGTTTGTGCTTGACTGTTAACCTAAAGTCTGGCAGTTCAAACCCACCCAGCAATAATTCAGAAGCTAGGCCTGGCATAAATAAAAACAAAAACAACCCAAAAAAAAATCCTTAACCAAGAAACCCCCATCGTGCAGTTCTACTTTATAAGGTGCGGGCTCTCCTCGACTCAACAGCAACAAACAGCTACCATTTCTCCTTGACGGGGGTGGGGTGGGTGTGTGTGTGTGTGTGTGTGTGTGTGTGTGTGTGTGTTTGTGTGTGTGTGTGTGTGTGTGTGTGTGTAAAGGACAACTAAAAATACTAAGCAATGTGTAAATATGAAGCCTTTTATTTTGTCATCAAAGAGCTAAAACGGGGAAATTCACGGTCAGGTTTATGTGTCTGGCTCCAGTGGATTATCTGTGCTAAGCAGATCCATGACTGATGCACGTTCAAGTCAATAGTGATCAGCGCCCTTCCTGTTCTAAAAGGAGTGTGGCTTCTCCATGTAACATATACAAAAATCAATTAGATCTTGCAGCAGCTGTCATCTTAGCAGAATGATTCTTTCTAAAATGCAACTCCCACTGATGGATTTCTAAATAGCTTGAAGGGCCATTTCTGAGCTAACGAAGTTGCGTGTGCAGGGATAATGAATTTCTCTCCTCTCCATCCTGCCTGGCCAGCCGGCTGGGTTGGGCTTAGGAGATGTAATGAGGGAGTGGGCCATAGGCTCTGAGACAAGCACTGGCTTCATCCATTTTCACAAATGAATGTTTTCATTTTAGGAGACCATCTATGTCATGCTCAAAACTTATTCTTCTAGGCCCTGAATTTCAACAGCGAACCTGTGACACAAAAGCCCTCCCTGGAAGAGCCGGATTTTTATAAAACAAAAGTCAAGCTTTGTATACTTCTTCATGCCTTCAGAATCCGTGCAGTGACGATAGATAGGACGATGAGCTACCTGAATTCTTCCTGAAGAGCTGAGATTTCTCCGGACCTTAAGGTCTTTTAACTATATTTATATAAATCCGAACCAAAGAGATTTTAACAGGATGTAGGTTAGGAACTGTGGGGGGAGGGCGGGGGGGATCAGGTCAAACCAACCCGTCCCCAGTACAACATGAATATGTTACCAATGTATTATATCCATCCCCACCCCAAGTTAGAAGGATTGGACTGTTATATCCACGATTCCTTTGATCGGGTGTTTTCCAATTGACTCAGGATAAGTTTCTTTTACATTGCCAGGGGCAAATTGCTAAGAAGGGGATCTAGATTCACTCAATGTTTCTCTTTCCCTTTATTAGAAGAACAAGAATTTATAAGCTATTTCTGTACCAAAGTGTTTGTGAGAACAAACACTCACACATAACTTATTTTAAACTATTTATTTATAAAGGTTTGTTTTTGTGAAAGCATGTGAACTAACTTATATTTATTTATATTTATTTAAATATTTATTATCATATGAATTGAAAATGCCTTATAAATGTTATTCTACAAGGGAAACATAGAATTAAAGTAATTCTCTTATTTTCTAATGTGATTAGGATAACAAGTGAAACAGAATTAAAGTAATTCTCTTATTTTCTAATGTGATTAGGGTTCTTGAAGTGCTAAAATATACATTGTCCATGATGATGAAATTTGAATAAAACTACTCTGGAAAGCATGCCTGTGTGTTCTCATATGTCTCCTTGTTACTTTAACCTCATATTTTGAATGGATCCTAGTTACCTATTCCTGTCTCATCAGTTCCAATTCACAACCTTATGGGACAGAATATGACTGCTCCCTAGGGTTTCTGAGTCTAAATCTTTCTGGAAGCTGTGGTAGGCCAGGTTAACTAGACAGAGAAATCCAAAGACACTCATTTATGTGTCAGAGAGAGCTTTATATCAAAGAGCAATTTTATATTGAGAAAACATCCCAGCCCAGTCCAGATCAAGTCCCTAAGTCAGATATTAGCCCATATGTACCATACTAGTCCTTAGATTTCTCTTCAGACTCCCTCAGCACAGGCAATGATGCCAAATACAGGAAGATCACAGGCTATTGGGTGGAAAGTCTTGTGGATCCAGTGGCAGTGGAAGCATCTCAGCGCTGGTGCAGGTCTCCACGTGGCACCTCGAGATCTCTGAGTGTGGTTCCTACTCAGCAAGGTGAAACCCATCTCACCAAATCTCCACGTCATTTGTTAACAGGAAGACCAAGGCAGAGAGAGAGGAAGTTCCCAGAATCCTTATGAAAAGGCCATGCCCACAAGAAAGCATCAGAAAAGGGGATGAGGGGAGACATCAGACAGGGCAAGATATGACAAAATAACAATTTATAAACTATCAAGGGCTCATGAGGGAGGGGGGAGCGGGGAGGGAGGGGAAAAATGAGGACCTAATGCCCGGGGTTTAAGTGGAGAGAAAATGTTTTGATAATGAAGTACAAATGCGCTTTACACAATTGATGTGTGTATGGATTGTGATAAGAGTTGTATGAGCCCCTATTAAATGTTTAAAAAAAAAAAAAGAAAGCATCATTAGACTGTGACCTGATTGACAGGCTAGACTCCACCCCTTCACTTTTAATACCCTCAAGTTGACACAAGATTATTTAACTACCACGGCCTCATCTTTCTTTCAGAGTGGCTTGAACCACCAACCTTGCTGACTGAAACAATCAACCAAGTTATCATTTTTGAGACTACATGTTAATATTTTTGTTCAAACCTTGAATAGAAAACAAAATACATAAATATGTTTTTAATAATAATCTTGACCTGATAATGCACTGTGCATAAGACAAACACCTAATAATATTCTTTAATGGAAAAATATCACATAAAGGCTGTCTAGTTAAATTATTCTTACCTTTGTGACTTTGAGCTCTCTGGAGGAAGCTATTTCTAAATTACAACCAGAAAAACTCCATTTGCTTCAAATTACATAGCATTTTTGCCTGAACCACGTGGATAATTGCCTTGCCTTTGCCTTAGAGATGTGCTTATAATGATCTCAATATTAAACTCAATCTGCTTCACTCTCTAAACCACGTGAATTTTCAAAAGGTTTACCTGATGGAATATCAAGTAATCATAGTTCTTTGATAATCATATATTTCCTTAATATGAAAAGGTTATTAAAAATGAAACATTGAGTAATCCCCTGTCCTCAGGCTAAGCCTTCCTCCTTGAATCCCAATTCTGATCCCTCTGAAGAGTGAGGTATGCCTCAACCGGGGAATGTGAATGAGCACCCCAATTCCTCACCTTTTGTCATCACATCAAAGGGCTGTCTGACAAACATTCAGATTTCAGAGTCACCTCGTGTAATGTGCAATTAGCAAGTAATCACTGGAAGCTAGCTCCCAATATGAATTTCCTCTTTAGTGATTCCTCCACAACCTTGAATGATTTGCAAGTGTCGGACAGGCAGGAGGCCTCAGGCCTCAGGTGGGGGTTCAGCAGCTTCCACTATGGGAAGGAGAGCCGGCTGGTAGCTTGCTGTAGATACAACTACGTTAGCACTCACGATGGAGTTCCTGGAAAGAAGACACCCGCCTGAGTTTATCCACAGGACAAGTGTAACAGAAAAAAAGCACAGGAGCAGACATTAATTTCCCCATAGTTCATGAGGCTGGAAGTTCAAATTCAGTGTGTAGTTCTCTAGGGAATGTCTTTCAGCTTCTAAATCCCTGCCATCTAGCCCACGCTGACTCATAGCAACCCTATGTACGTTTCTTCTGAGACTGGAAATCTTTTTTTTTTTTTTAACACGGTGCCCTTATTTTTATTTGCCGAGACTGGAAATCTTTATGGGAGCCGAGCACCTCACTTTTTCTGGTAGATTTGAACCACCAACCTAATAGTTAGCAATCCAAAGCCCAAACGATAGCACCCCCTGGCTCCTTCTGTCAGCTTGTAGGACCCAGCAATCCGGCCATCTAGCAGCCAGGCTTTCTCGGTTTATAGATAGGTCTGCCTCCACCATCTTCCTATAACGTCTCTCTTCCCCTGGCTTGCTTGGCCCTGTGCCTAATCTGCTTTTGTGTTATTTCAAACATGGTTCATTGTAAGACATATCCAGCACTGATATGATTCATTAGCATAACAAGAACCTGATTCCCAATTGCAATTGTATCCGCCTTTATTGAACCAACTGCTACGCAGTCCATTCTGACTCACAGTGGCTCGGTAGGGCAGAGTAGAACTGTTCCCTGGGGTCCCTGAGGGAGAAAGGAAAGCCTCATCTTTCTTTCTCAGAGTGGTTGCGGGAGTCAAACTGCTGACCATTTGGTTAGCAGTCCAGTGGATTATCCACTATGTCACCATTATCCACAGATATAGGGGATAGGATCCCAACACATATTTGGGAAGGAGAGGGAGGATTCAATTTACCCCATAACTTTTTGGTTCTGGAAATTACCCTGAGTTATGTTTGTCAATAGTCACATCGTATGACTATTCCACTTTTTTTAAAAATATAGTCCATAATTTCCAAGCTATGTAAAATGACCATGTTAGTTAACTTCTCCCAGCCTGCTTCCTCTGCCCTACAGTGAAGGTTATACTAGAACCCACATCAGAGGACGAGCTGTTGCAGATGTCACTTCCATGGAGTTGACCTGTGTGCACCGCAGAATTGCTCCACGGCGTTTTCAAAGTGTGGTGACCTTTGGAAAGGAGCCCTGGTTATGCATTAGACTGCTCCCTGCAAGGTCAAGGGTCTAAACCTACCTGCTCCTCTTCAGGAGAAAGATGAGGCTCTCTGCCCCCATAATGATTTACAGCTTCAGAAACCCTAGCGAGCAGATCTACTCTGCCTTACATGATCATCTGCTTCCAAATGGCTAGACAGAAAGGGGTGGGGGAGGGGAATAGGGAGTGGAGAAAGAGAGATGATAGATAGATGATAGATAGATAGACAGACAGACAGACAGACAGATAGAAGGAGGGAGGGAAGAAGGAAGGAAGGGAGAGAGAGAGAAATAAAAGCACCTAGTGGTGTAGAGGGTCATGTGTTAGGCTGCTAACAACAAGGTCAGCAGTTCGGACTCACTAGCCACCCCAAGGAACAAAGATGAGGTTTTCTGTTCCTTTAAAGGTTTGAAGGCTCAGAAACTCACAGAACGGTTCTACCTTGTCCTATAGTGTGGCTAGCAGTCAGAACAGACTCGATGGCAGTGAGGGGGGGAGTTGTTTGATATTCCAAGGTGCTTATGGGTGGGTTTGAACTGCCAACCTTTCAGCTGATAGTTCAGTGCTTAACCATTCGTCCCACTCAGGGGCTCCCAAGGATCATAGTGCGGTGGGATGAGACAATGCATTGACCCAGCACATAAGATGTATACAAGAAAAAGTTAACCATTTTTGAAAATGTATTATTGCTTTTGGGGCTTGGTGACAGGCCCCAAATAATCCCTCAAGGGTATTATTGATTTCTCTATGGAGTTCAGGAAACAGTAGTGCCTGTCCCCACAGTGTTACTGTGGAAGGCCAAGGGCGCTGCAGGATGTTAAATTAGAAAAACATCAACCACATTTTTTCAGAAACAAATTTGTGTGTACCTGAAATATTTCATAATAATTTTTAATTAATTGTATATAGACCAATATCATGGTGGAAATATATTGAGTAAGTCTAAGTAAAACATTAAGTAAAATATACATATCTGAGCATGAGACAAAAAATGTTAGTTATGAAAATGTAACAACAAACATGAACATCCGTGGAACTGTAGAAGAGCGAGAGCCGCCAGCACTGGGCCAGGCGTTTACCAGAACTTATGTCACCCTCCCCGTGTTAGTCCGGGTAGACCAGAGGAGCAAACTCATGGCCACGCTCATATGTGTATAAGAGAGAGTTTTATATAAAGGGTAATTGTACATTAAGAAAGCATCCCAACCCAGTCCAGATCAAGTCCATAAGGCTGGTATTATCCCATATGTCTGAGACCAATCTATGAAGTCCTCTTCAGACTCACAAAACACATGCAATGACTCTGAATGCAGGAAGATCACAGGCCAGTG